TCTCTCTCTCTCTCAGAAATAAATTTAAAAAAATTAAAAATTAAAAAAAATGGGGAGGATCACATGCTGGGGAAGTGGTTAGTCTGTAGGACAACCCCTGCTGACTATGGGCAAGAAAAAGGGGGAGGCATCAGATCTACAACCATAAGGAATCGATTTTTGCCCACAACCTCAGTGAGCTTGGAAATGATTTCTGCCCCAGAGCTCTTAGATAAAGAGGCCAGTCTGGCTCTGATTTCAGCCTCGTGAGACCCCAATCAGAGAACCCAGCAAACCCCAGCCTACCCCAGCTCAGACATCTCCGCTGCAGAAATTTGACATAATAAGCAAAAACTATTTTGAGTTTCTAAGTTTGTGGTAGTTTATTATGTAAACTAATATGAAACTAATACAACATCCTTATCAGTTCCTAAGAAAATGTATACTTTCTTAAGTGCCTAAAAATAAATTTGATATTACGTTTAATATTTTAATTCTTATCTGTCAACATGTTTTATATTTGAATATCACAATGCATTTCATAGTTACAATTTAAAATGAATTTCTCAGGTATATGTGAGGCGAATATCTTTTTAATCATCTAGGATATTGTGATGATGTTTTCATAGTGTTGATTCAAGTAAAAATTAGATTCTATCAAATATACTAAAGATTGCATCTGGAAAAATTCTAGCAGCAACATGTAGACACAGTGTTATAATTTTTGTGTAAATAAGTTCAATCAACATTTATTTTTTAATGTTTATATTTTGAGAGACAAAGAGACAGATCATAAGTGGGGGAGGGGCAGAGAGAGAAGGAGACACAGAATCCGAAGTGGGCTCCAGGCTCTGAGCTGTCAGCACAGAGCCCGATGTGGGGCTTGAACCCACGGACCATGAGATCATGACATGAGCAGAAGTCGGATGCCTAACAGACTGAGCCACCCAGGAGCCCCTCCATGTACTCTTTTTGTACGTAGTTGAACAGTGACACAATTAATCAATTGATTCAGTGCTTTGACTCTGTGGTGTTGAAGAATCCATTCAGTATATTTTTCCTTACCGAACGATTTTGTTGGCGAAACAGAAATTGTCATGTCATAGCTTCTACTTTTTATAAATTAATGAAAAGCACATTATTCCCCAGAATAAGTGAAACAAATCTATTGAAAAGAAGCACCTTCGTGTAGGTTACAGTTGGAGATGGTATTTCATAAACAAATGTGTGAACCTACTCAGTCTCCCATCACTTTAAATAGAAAGCTTGTAGAACCGCTTCTTTATATTGCACACAATTGCAGATCTGCTCCGTGAATGGTAATGCGTGGTTTTAAATATGAGCACACTTGATTATGTAGCCCCAGATACATAATGGAACAGAAGGCTGGCGCTTAGGCTGATTCTGCCCTAAGTAAAACCCATCTGTTTACTACTGAGGCAGCGTGCAATTCAGTTGTGTTTGAGTAGATCAAGATCTATACTCGAGGCTATTTTCTCTCCAGTAATAGAAAAGCACAGGGAAATGTTTAGTAAGACTTTTCGCTTTGTAAAGATGGGATTTTACAAACTACAAGTATGTGCCCCTCAAATCTGGTCCACCCAGAAATGCCACTTGATCGGATGCTTGCGGATCATCCCAGGCAGCACTAGCCTATAATCACGTAGACTAGTGAGATCCTGGAGGCACTCACAGAGGGGCAGCTGATTGTTTATTTCATGTAAAGGGAGCTGAAATTAACCAAGGGACATTTATATTAGATGTTTGTTTAAAGGTCTGTTTGTAGGCTTTTTGGACCATTATGAAAGTGTGAAACATAGTTTGGAAAATACCAGTTTTGGAAATATGCTTCTGACAGAGACATAATTATTTCTGGAGAAACTGCTGTATTTATACTACACTTGATATTTTCAAAAGAGTGGTTTGATCGGCCATGATTGCTTCTTCAGGATTTCCCAAATGCCCAGCACCAAAAGGTGTAATTCTTTTGCCTATTTGTTCTTCAATATAAAATCAAGTAATTTTTGAGACCAAGATCAAAGAATGGCTCATTTATGAAAACTTCTATAACTCCTGTTCTTTCTTCTGTTCCATGACAGTACCTTGCTTAAAACTTCTAGTAGAGGGCGCCTCGGTGGTTCAGTTGGTTAGCGTCCCACTTTAGCTCAGGTCATGATCTCACAGTTGGTGGGTTCATGTCCTACCTCAGGCTCTGTGCTGACAGCTCAGAGCCTGGAGCCTGCTTCAGATTCTGTGTCTCCCTCTCTCTCTGCCCCTTCCCTACTCGTACTCTGTTTCTCTCTCTCTCTCTCTCTCTCAAAAATAAACATTAAAAAAAAAAAAAAAACTTAAAGCAATTATTTCCTTCTATCTTGCTTTGTTTTTAATGGTGTACATTTCCTTCAACTCTGCAGAATTTCAAGTTCTTTGATAGCAGAGGTTATCCATTAGCCATATGCAGCACCCTCTATAAGGTTTTCATGGTGGAGGGGTACGTGGGGGACTCAGTCGGTTAAGCGTCCGACTTCACCTCAGGTCATGATCTCACAGTTTGTGAGTTTGAGCCCCGCGTCGGCCTTTGTGCTGACAGCTCAGAGCCTGGAGCCTGCTTCGATTCTGTGTGTCATTCTTTCTCTGCCCCTCCCCCACTTGTGCTCTGTCTCTCTCTTTCTCCCAAAATAAATATAAAAAAAATATTTAAATAAAGAGAAATGTCCTGTTGAATTGAATCATATAAAGTAATTCATCCATCAGCAAGGAACTTACAATTGGTATGTCTTCATTGAGGACCATTTGCTTCCTTAAAATGACCCAGGGTGGAAAAATGGGGGAGAAAAAAGAATGTTCCTCATAGTGTGCTAAATATAGCCACAACCAAGGGACCCATGGGGATATCAAGAAAAGCTCTTGGAAACTTCAGGCCAGTAATAACAAGCAGACAAACAGAAGACCAGAACGTTTGAAACACTTACGTTTTATATCTCTTTGAATGATCGTCTTAAATCGGTATCATGTGTGTTACTATAATGTTACTCCATATGCAAGAGTATTATATGTAAAAGTGCTTTGCGAAATCCTAAGGTTTCATACAAATGAAATCTATCATTATTGTGTTACTGAACTCCAAACTATGTTTGTAAATGTCCCTCTCTCTGCCATCTCAACTATCAATCCCAAGAAAGATTTAGTTTGGGGTATTCACCCCTTTAAAGTCTATGCTGCTTCATGGATGCAGGGTCCTAAAGAGGTAATTAACAGTCCCCACGCAGGTAAGACTGCAGAAATAGCCCTTTTGATGTGATGGCAAACCTAATAAGTGGCATGGTACTTTAGGATTTTATGTTTCTCTTTTTTGTTTTCTTTTGTTCTTTTTTTTTGGTGGGGGGAGGGGGCAGCGGCTGTGCAAGTAGGGGAGGAGCAGACGGAGAGAAGGAGAGAGAGAATCTCAAATAGGCTCCGTGCCCAGTGTGGAATGGGGGTGGGGGGCTCCATCTCACCATGGTGAGATCATGACCTGAGCTGAAATCGAGAGATGCTTAAGCCCAGATTTTATGCTTCTATAACAAAGTTTTCAGTATTTATTAACATTTCTCAGTACTTAAAAAGAAGTACCTCCAGTTTCATAAAAACGTCGTCAGAGTTGTAGGAAAGAATTGAAGTGATACATAATTTGCATCATAACATAAAACAAATCTCTCTTGGAAACAAACAAACAAAAAACCCTTGCAGCTTTTTAAAATATTGCAGCTAAAATAAAATGAGTTGAAACCCACTTAAGGACTTCTGAGAGGTATATTTACAAACAACAATCATACCGATGCCCTACTGGGTATGCACATTTTAAAACGTAACATATTCATTTCATCCTCTGAACAAAAATACATTTAAAAGTAGCTTATATTGTTGGAAATGTGTTTCAGGACACTTCCTTACAATTTAGAAAACTTAAGTGTTTTATGAACGAAGATAAAACAAACATTGATTGTGGATCATTAATTGATTGTGGGGGGAAGGGTAGCCCACGTGTGAAAAGACCTAGAAGACTGTTCTGCATTCGTAGGCCAAAGCTTGTGAAAATTGCTTCATTATGAAATGAGCTAGTGACTGAATGTCCACACAAGTGGAGAAAATGGAGCTCTGGCCAGTCCTCGGCAAGACTGAACAAGACTACAGAGCATCAAACAGTCCTTTTGCCAGTCAGTTCTATTTCTTGCATTCCCAGCTTTTTTTTTTATTTTTAATGATTTTTAAAATTTATATTAGACACACACACACACGGAATGCAAGTGGGAGAGGGGTAAAGAAAGGGAGACACAGAATCCAAAGCAGGCTCCAGGCTCTGAGGTGTCAGCACAGAGCCTGACGCGGGGCTCAAACTCACAGACCGTGACATTGTGACCTGAGCTGAAGTTGGACGCCTAACGGACTGAGCCTCCCAGGTGCCCCTTTTGCATTCCAAGCTTTATGTCAAACTGTAGAGTCCATCAATACCTTCTTGAATTCAGTACAAAGAAATGTATCTCCAAAATAATATGCACTTTGTCTTTTGTCAAGCAATGAGAGCTGCATAGCAAAGAAAACCTTATATTCCAGATAGTCCAGGCAAGTCTCAACTTTACGGTTCACCCCATTATCAGATAATATGTCCCAGTTTTTATTTAGCATATATAAGTGATACAACTTAGCATTTCTTTTTCATCTTTAACTGATAAGACATGCAGAGTGCTCAAATCAGAGCCCAGTCACGGTATCTAATCATTTCATGTGTTTGGTAATATCAAGGTCATTGCTTCCATTTAATTGATTCTTTGCTACCTTTATTTTAGATCCGCCTGTTTTGCATTGTGTGTGTCTTTGAAAACCACAAATCGGTCTTTGAAAGACAATAGGACATTGTCATAAATAAATAATTTCCCAAATTCCTTGGAGATTCTTCTGAATTCTCTATTCTTGCCTTAGTTTATTTAATGGGGGCAAGCTGCTTTGATGAAATTCATTTTGTATTTTAATTTTTGTTCTAGAATTTGCTTGCTCTGACTTCCAGTTTGTGATTCCTGAGAGTGCTGTAGACAGGAGAGAACCTGTAAGTTCACAATGTATTGTTCTTCTATTTGGAGATTTGCTGTAATCAAACATGCATTTTCAAAAAGTTATCCTGCCACTGAGATGGGGGTCGGCATACAGGGTAGATCGACAGGGGTGAGATTGAAATGTCACTGTGTAGGAAACTTTGTACAAATATATCTCTTTCATTGCCAGTTTAAATGAACAAACATCCTGTTTTAAAATGTAACTGCCCCAATGAGACAGATCGCTTCTCTAGCCCAGATGTCTCTTCCAAACGCCGAGGCCATGTTTTAATGGCCTATTTAAAATCTCCACGTGGATGCTTATTCTAGTCCATGCCATCATCATTTTTCACATGTAGCACTGCATCAGCCTCCTAACTACTCTACCCTCTAATTTCTTTCCATACACCAGCAGGACTGATCTTTTCAAATTGCAAATCTAATCATATCCCATCATCATCTGCAACCTTCTACAATTAAATAACTTCGCATCATTCTTTGAGAGGGTGGGGGTGGAACCTTTATCATGACCGACAAATGCCTTAAGTTCTGTGGCTTCCACTTACATCTCTAGCTTCCTTTGCAACTGCGCTCCCCCATGATTTGTCCTCGGGCCATGCTTTCACGCCCTTTGGAACACTCTTCCCTTCCCTCTTCATATTCTTTCTTTAGGTTATCAGCTCAATCATCACATTCTCAGAAGTTCACTTTCCCTGAGTTCAAGACTAGATCAAGCGTATTCGTGAGATCAGATCTATCTCTTTGTAATTAGCTTATTAAAATCTATCTCTCCCTACTAAATTTTAAGCCATAATGTGGGAAACTGTGTCTGATTTTGCTTTCTGTTGTATGTCCGTGACCAGGCCCGATGCCTGGTACGTAGGAGACATTCATTGTAACATTCAGTGGATGAATGAATGAGGGCTAGTAGAAAGATGCCGACCACTCATTTGGTAATGAGATTTAATGCAGTCTTTTTGCTTTCTTTCCAAAACCCAGCTCCAAAAAATTGGATGTTGAGATGAAAGGAAAGAACATGCTTTGGAAGTATGGGCTTAATCAGGAGACTTGGGGGCAACATTGAGGTTGGCACGAAGAGGCTTTGGATAATTCCAGGACAGTCTGATAGGTGCTAGGTGACACAGAGGCAGAGAAATCCAAAAGCACCTTTCGCCTTTTTACAACTCCATGGAGACTTGCTTGCTCTCTTATGGCTTACAGTCTATGTCCTTCAGTAGCAATAAGGAATGTTTAAACCATTGAGTAATTTGTTTTTTATGCAAGTTATTGGTCCCAGTCATCAGTGGGAAAGGAAAGAATGATTTGCTTCAGTCTTCAAATGAAAGAAGACTGAAAATGAAATGAAAATTCTAGAAACTGAAATTATTTTATGAATGTAAGTAGAGCCTGGCTGAACCCTATACTCCTTGAAGACGAATTGCTATTTTCTACAGAGAATTTACATGCATGAGGAGTAAAATGTGCCGTAGCATTGAAGATTAATCTTCTCAGGAAGTCATCAAGGGAATTAACAATCAAAGATGAACCAGACTAAAGGCAGACCCCTGGTCCCTGGCTGCTCCTCTCGAGGATAGTCAAGGTAAGAATGGACTGGGATGGTCAAAATGAGAGGCTGAAGTAAGAGAATGTGAGGAGAGTCCTTTTGAACAACAGGATTTTTCCACAGTTCATTTTTTTAGTGGTTGATTTGCATTTTTTACAGTACTCTGCTTTAATCTGTAACTATTCCTCAGATGGCCGTCATTATTAACTAAGAGAAATGGCACTATCTTGTCACTAAGTAGGGATTGTGAAGAATATGATCATCTCAGAACTGAAAGCAAATACACGCACTGATATTAGCTGAATTATATTATGGTTCTCCTAAGATGGTAGCATTTATTCTCTCAATTAAGACAAAAATCGACTTAAGGCACTCAAGTATTCTGGGAGTTCTTGAAGACTGAATTGTTCTGAAGGTTGGTTACCTTGAGGAAGAAGTTGGTAACACATTTGCAACTGACTTTATAGAAATCTTACAGAAGAGCAGAAGATTCTAATTAAAATGGGGATGTGAAGTTGAGGTGTAATTATGAAAATTGCTCTTATTAAAACATTATACTTTAATGCGGCACCTTTGTAAAGCCTGGTTTTAAATGCTGAAGAGGAAATAATTGCTTTTTATCATTTGAAATATTTTTATTTTTCATTTATTCCTTTACACTGAAATAAATACAGCAATTAGATGACACTTGAAGCTATAACATGATAAAAATATTTCCTGTCTTTAATTTGATACTGAAGCTTAGATCATTTTCAGCCTTTTAAGTAGTGTTTCCCCTTCTATCCCTTATTTGTACAAGCGTCTAGGTAGAGAAGAGTAGACAAAGATGTCTTGGAGAACTGTTATTATCCAGTATGCGTGTGGCACAGGGCTAGTGATACAAATAAGCATTTAATATAGGGTATCTGTTGATAGGAAGACAGAAGAATGAGAAAATTAATAAAACCATTTTCAAAGTAGAAATCACTAAAGTTGAGACTCTATTAAAGAGTGATTGCATTCAAACTTTGAGTCTTAGGTTCACTAATTTTACCTTTATTGTAGCTAGGAAGCCGTAAGCCAGCAGATTGTTCCTGAATACCAAATGTGGCATGAATGAGGTGCTCACGCGGCATGCTTTGCATAGACAGGGTTAAGCAAAAGGCCCTGAGCGCGTTAGGCCAGGATAATAGACTCAGGATACATTGACCCAAGTGGAGTTAAAAACAGGCATAATCATAATAATAAAATTTCCTTCAGAGGGATCATGCTTTTCACTAAAAGTGCCTTTCTAACATGCGATGGAAACACATTGCGGGCCTTTTGGAAAGATTTGCGGTCAAATGCCTTCTCACACTCAACTTCATTAAGAGTTTTTTCTTCCTCTCCACAGCCCCACTTCCTTGTGTATATAATATCTCGCCTCCTTAGCAAAGACGATCAGCGTATTTTTGCAGCCTTAGAATCATAATATATATGCCAAGGTTAACCAATACAAAGTTTGTTGTAAAGGTCTCACTTCTAGACACATGTCATTGATAACTGAGTAGTACATTCCCTCCCACTGACACTGGCCATGGTGCTACAACCTCTTTATACGGCAGCCACTACCTACAGGTACAGCTTGCTTCATGAGACGAGAACCCCTTTGCTACTGTAGATCCACACCACTGCTTCCAAACCTCTTGTGCTCCATGGCACACATGTAGCTAATGGAATGTGTGTAACACCATACTTATTAACAGAAAAGGCTGCTCTAACCATGGGCTAGAGGCTACACAGAATGGTCATGGGATGAAATGACTCACAATCCATTTGAGGCCACAGTGGGAGGGCCTGGATCGGACATCAAGTCGTCTTTATTCTGTACTCGCCTTGAGGTTTATTAGCTGTCAACTGTCTTGAGTAGTCAGAACAAAGTTTAGAACATCACCAAAAACCTTTTTTCCCAAGCCATGGATTAGATAAAAAGAGATCTTTGTAGCCCACTCATCGGATATAATTATGGCAAAGCACCCTCGTTGTAGGCAATGCGTTTGTCTTTGAGACACTTGCAGATTTTTTCCTGGCATATATTCGTGTCTCCTCTAGTGTTAATGATCCCATTATGTGGATATTCTTTTTTTTTAATTTTTTAATGTTTTTTTAAAAAATTTATTTCTGAGAGAGAGAGAGAGAGACAGCGTGAGCAGGGGAGGGTCAGAGAGAGAGGGAGACACAGAATCTGAAACAGGTCCAGGCTCTGAGCTAGCTGTCAGCACAGAGCCCAACGTGGGGCTCGAACCCATGAACCATGAGATCATGACCTGAGCCGAAGTCGGACGCTTAACCAACTGAGCCACCCAGGCACCCTGGATATTCTTGACTGTAAATTGAAACTAGCTCTTAGACTCATAATTTTCCAAATCTGGCCATCATATATAAAGGACATAGGTACAGCAATATTTACCTTGACATTCGAAAAGTATCCCTTTCACTTGTTGCCTTCAAGTGAAATGCATACTGTGTGGTTTATTAACTCTGATGTGTTGATACTGTAGTATTTTTAAAAATTTTTTTAAGTTTCTTTATTTTTGAGTGAGAGAGAGAGAGCACAAGTGGGAAAGGGGCAGAGAGAAGGAGAGAAAGAATCCTAAGCAGGTTCCATTGCCATCAGTGCTGAGCCAAATGCAGGGCTCGAACTCATAAACTGTAAGATCATGATCTGAGCCGAGATCAAGAGTTAGATGCCTAACCGACTGTGCCTCTCAGGCACCCTGGTGCTATACTGTTTTAAGCAATCTTTTTTTTTTTTTTTTTAATTCATGCTTTGAATCTGAAACCCCAGAGGACATATTTCCTCCACAATTTATGTCATTTATGGTCTAGAAGAGGTCTAAAAAATAATAATCTCATGTATTGCAGATAATTTTCGAATGTGTTGGTGTGCTGCTTTTTTTCATTCTCCTTTGTGTTTAGCCTGAGCCTCCTCTCAGGTCACCCATTGCCTGAAAGAGGTAGAGGAAGTAATGGGGGATTAAGATTAATCAAAGAGAGTCAATTGTCAGATATTGGTTCCCAAAATCGGGCACGGTGATCATATGTGGGTATCTTAGCTTCTTCTGTTTGGACAAAGCACAGAGGAGAGAGAGTGTGGCAGAATTCCCAGTATAGAGCAAGTCACATAATAGTCTGGGAAATTGAAAGCATCATAAAGATGTCCTTAAATTAGCATGCATTTGAGGGGCGCTTGGGTGGCTTAGTCGGTTAAGCGTCCGACTTTCGCTTAGGTCATGATCTCGTGGTTCGTGGGTTCGAGCCCCACGTCGGGCTCTGTGCTGACTGCCAGCTCAGAGCCTGGAGCCTGTTTCAGAGTCTGTGACTCCCTCTCTCTCTGACCTTCCCCTGCTCACACTGGCTCTCTCTCTCTCTCTCCTAAAAATAAATAAAAATATAAAAAAAAAATTAGCATGCATCTGAGTAACAAGGTACCCCAGAGGTGTAAAGGTTAGAAGTGCCTGAGGAAGATGTTCTGAACCTGGATTTAAGGACAGACTCAAACAGCCAACGAGCCCACATACCCCAGAGTGATACAGAGAAGTTAGCTAAGATTTCTCAGGCCCTTAATGGGTGAGTGAACTGATAAACCACAATGAGTCTGAGATTGCTGAAAGGAAGCCATCAAATGCAGAGATGTCATGGTCATGGGCTATGGCAGGAACATAGACTTGGGCTCTGGGTGCCCGTGTGGAGGGCAAAAACGTTGCAGGAATGTCAGCCACAACACAGGATAGGACCCGAGAGGCCACACGGAATTGGAGACCAGCAAAGCTCAGAGGACATCCTGTGGTTCAGGAGACCTTTCCCTAATGCCACAAGGTTATGTCAAGTGGATACAAAGTTTGAAATAGCGAGAGTATGGCAGGCCCCCTGGGAGCAGGGGAAAAGCATCCTAACAGGGAATTCGAATGTTGGATTAAGTCCAGAGTGTGCAGTCTACTGAAACAAACTACCAGACAACAAAACAAAAGCCTTTTTCAACTTGCATGAAACAGGTACTAAATAACATAAGTCAGAAGAGAGGCGCATGCGGATTGATTTCACTTATGTGAAGAATATATGTGGATTCTGAAAAACAGAGGAACAAACAAAACAGAGATTCGTAGATCCAGGAAACAAGCTGTTGGTTACCAGAGAAGGGAGGGTTTGGGGGGTGCTGAAATAGGTGGAGGGGACGAAGAGGTACAAACTGCCAGTTATAAAATAAGTAAATCATGGAGATGAGAAGTGTGACGTAGGGAATAGTCAGTAATGTTAAAATCACTTTGTGTGGTGACAGATGGTGACTACCTTTATCGCGGTGACTATTTCATAATGTATATAAATGTCAAATCACTATGCTGTATGCCTGAAACTAACACAGTATTGTATGTGAACTTCAATTAATGAAAAGGTTGATTGGGCCGCCTGGGGGGCTCAGTTGGTTGAGCTGAGCATCCGACTTTGTCTCAGGTCCTGATCTCATGGTTTGTGGGTTCGAGCCCCATGTTGGGCTCTGTGCTGACAGCTTGGAGCCTGGAACTTGAACTTGCTTCTGATTCTGCGTCTCCCTCTCCCTCTGCCCCTCCCCTGTACTCTGTCTCTCCCTGTCTGTCTGTCTCTCTCAAAAATAAACATTAAGCAATTTCTTTAAAAAGGTTTATTGAGGTATAACTTACATACCATCAAATTTATTCATTTTTAGGTACACACTCCAACTATATTTAGTAACATTAACAGAGCTGTGCAACCATCGCCAATTCCGCTGGCGATGAAGGGTCAGATGGGGGAGAGAAGTAGCTAAAAGAAAATTTTTAAATTAAAAGTTACTCAGTTTTGGAACATTTCGATCACATCATTATGTGTGTGTGTGTGTGTGTAATGTATGGTTAATGTATTTATATAGGCTATATGTCTCTATAGCATACATACATGTAGCTATATGTATGTAGTTACATCTACTGTAGAGTTATACATAAGAACACACATGAACTATACATGTCATGCTGCTCTTCTGTAAGAACAGTGCTCCA